ATTCCAGCTATATTTTGAATGTCTGTTTGAACACAGAACGTTCTCCTTATGGCAATGTGATCAAAGGGTCAAGCTGTATTTTGGGATATTTTCTTAAGCGCGCATGTTAAAAAAAAATAAAATTAAATAAAAATGCACTGTGATGCCTATCAGCATGGGAATAAGTAGATAAACGTCTTCATGTGAAAGAGTTTAGTTGTGAAAATGTGATGCATGTCACACAATGAATAATGTCTGGTATGGATGTCAATTGCTGTAAATAACCCCTTAAATGCCAAGATGGATGCGCAATACATTGCTAAATTATTCTTCTTCAAAATCTGCATCAAGTTTACCTCAATTCCACCTTCAAATGGGATACTGATATACTTTCAAAAAAGAATTCATTATACAAGGTAGAATTAAATTCATTACGGCCCTATACATGTATTAAATACTATCCATATTTTGCTGTTTACTCATATTAATTTGTCAATTAATTCAAACAGAATTGCCGAGAATTGCAAAGGGATCACTTTGATTTATTTTTCTTGGATATTTTAACCTAAAGTTTGAAATTTACTTATCAATTCTTTATTATTTACAGAATACTGAATACAACACCCTTACAATGCTTTACCTTGTAATTTCTAATAGAGAAATAAACGTCAAGGTCATTGCAAAGGTTAACCCCTTAAGTACCTTTTTTAAATTTATTTATTTTTTAAATGTACTTCTTTATTTTTTGTTAAATCACTTTATATAATGATAAGCCTGGTGCATGTTACACATTTATAAGGGGCTATTGACAATCAAAACTATTTCTATCAATAGCACAGCAGCTTTTAATTTTGTTTATAGGGAGCCAAATTAAACACCTTAAATTAGCATTTTATGCCTACACCCATATGCATAAGGCTATCCTAGCTATAAGATAAGGCCAGGGACTAATGCAAGTATTTAGAAAATTGGGCAGACTAGATGGGCCGAATGGTTCTTATCTGCCGTCACATTCTATGTTATAAATAACTGCAATAAGTGGTCCTTAAATCTCCAAACAAGTGAATACCTGCACATACAGAAAACAATTCTAACTCTGTATCAATATATGCAGATTAATTATCAACCTCAATCATATGAACAAAGTTTGACTTTTGTCACTGGCTTGAGAAAGTAGTTGAAAGCTTTTTGAGCCTGTTTATCCATAATAACTTATTTCCTGTTTAAAATGTGAACGTTTTGTAGCAATTTTGTTTCTTACATACTCCTATATCCGAATGTAAAACTGTAAAGTGAGGAATCATATGCTTGAGCTATATAAATGCCACTAAACAAAATACAAAAAAAAACATTAAAAAAACAAAAAAACTCAACAATATTGATCTGCCTATTGGTACAAAGCTATGACCCTGATTCTTGTTGTTGCTTTAGGTATATGTTGGGACCTTTGTTCTGGCAACAATAGCATAGTTTGTATTTGCCTGACTTTCTACACTGCATCAATTGTACAAATAAAGAGTAATATTTCAGAACAAGTCAGGCCAAGGGATATTGTATATGCTTTGACTCTTTCACTGTCAGCTGAGTAACTAATATACTGCTGTAAAAGTGCTCATATAACCAGCTGGTTAGATACAGTTTGTCCATGCTGGTTTCACACCTGACCTGTCAAATGACAACACTGAGGGCTAACAAACTGTTTTAAAGCTCTCTCTCTGTTTTTATTGGAACCAGCAGGGGTTAAATGTGCATTGTTACTTGCTCATCCTGAAATGCACTTTATATCTTTCACCCCATTCATCACTCCCTCTCAGCACTGTTATAAAAATACATTGCCATGGGAATGGATACACACACACACACACACACACAAGCACAAGCACACACAGAAAAATGCAGCTATTTAGTCACTGTTCCTGAATGAGAGCTTAGTTTATTCCTTGTTTAAAGTGGGTTAAGTGTGCAGCAGGCACAGATATGAGATCTGATGAGCAGTATATACAAGGAGAGTAGGAGAGGGGGGGAGGAGTGGGGTGAACTGACTAATGGGATATTAAATATCCTCAAACATGCATTTTCAGTCATGTACTCGCAGCTTCTAAAAGCCAATAATGCTCTGGACTTCCTCTATTTAATTACCATGGGGGGCTTTAATGACAGATCGATGTTACTTTAGCATTGTCTATGGTAGTATTGCATCTCCTTAAAGCTGCAGGAATCTGAACCCAAGATACAGAATGTCAAATAGATAATACATTTTACTTTCCCTCTTAAAGGGTCAGAGTAGGATACTGGAAGGAGGTGGGACTTCTTAATAACAGGAAGTTGCTTAAAACAACTGAAAATATTTTTTTATTTTTTGTGTTTTAACTTTCATTCCATCCTTCTATTGGAGTTGTATTGTACTGGGGAGGGGACATCACATAAAGAGATATATCCACTAGAACTGTATATCTGTCACAATTCTTTATTTTATATAAAAATGCTGTTTAAACCTTAGATCTGCGGAGTTATGTCCAAAGAAACCAAATCCTCAATCATCATCTCGTACATTCAGTGAGTCCATGTTAACCCATTCATGGCTGCATGGTTTTGAGCTCTACTGTAACCAGAGTCCCTGCTGGGATCATTCCATATTAACCCATTCATGGCTGCATACGTTTAAAATCTGCTATAACCACAGTGCCTGCTGGGTTCATTCCATATTAACCCATGCATGGCTGCATTAGTTTAAACACTGCTATAACCAGAGTGCCTGCTGGGATGATTTCAACTTAACCCATGCATGGCTGTATAAATGCAAACGTTACAATAACCAGAGTCCCTGCTGGAATGATTCCCTATTAACCCATTCATGCCAGCACCGGTAACACTCTATATAGACAGAATGCATGCTGGGATAACTCAACATTAACCCATTCATGGCTGCACAACTCTACTATAGCCAGAGTGCCTGGTGACTTAATTCCAACTTAACCCATGCGTGTCTGTATAAATGCAAACTCTGCTATAACCAGAAGGCCTGCTGGGATAATTATATGTTAACCCATTCATGGCTGCAGTGGAATAAAGTAGCTTTAGTTACTTGGTATAACCAGAATGTGTATGTGTGGAAAGGAGTTCAAGTTTAGAGTGAAATATAAATGCTTTTAACAGTGTGAAGAATCTTATCGTTATATATCTTTTGTTTCCTACCTTTCCGATTTGGTGAATTTTTTAAAGGGTTGTCTGGTAAGGTCATGGTAGGATCTATAGCTTTGGGGTTCCGCTGATATACCCTGAGCTCTGGTGGTCCTTGGTCCAATCTGGGCAGTGATTGGCACTGCCAACACAGACTGGTACTTGTGTAGTTTTCTTTTGAGTTCCTGTATTTCCTCTTCTTTCTCCAGCAAACGGTTCTCTAGGTCCCTGATCCTCTCCTCCTTCAGCATCAGGATCTTCGCAAAGTCCTCCTCCAGTTCACTCATCCTCTCCCCCTGTGTTAAACTTGGCTCTCCTGCAGTAGTAGTCACTGTATAACCAGCGTTCCAGATGAATGAAGTCTCCTTGTTACAATGTTGCCTGTCCCCCCCTGCCTGCTGATCCTGTTGAAGTTTATTCCTTAAACCACTGATCGCTGCTGGGATGGTCTACAATGGAAAGGAGGGTGAGATAACTGAGAGCACTGCTGCTGGGTGAGGAAATGGTAATCCACAGTCCCTTCTGGGAATGGGTTATTATCTTTCATTGAGAAACCAATTACAGTTGTGAGACCTCTCTATGATCAATCCCACGAAGGGGGAAGAATCAGCATCCCTGTTTCAGATCTCCTAAAAGTGTGATCACAGCAGACAGCCTCTATCTTCATCCCACCAAAATCACACTCCACCACTCAGTGGCCAAGAGGAAAAAGAGAATGCAAAATGTAACAAAAAAAAAAGAGAGAGCTTTGTGGCACTCAAGTCTTGGTCCTTGAAATAGAAACAATTACCATGTGATCTTAAGGGTGACGCAGCTCCTTGTAACTGGATCCTGGGACACTGAAAAAACCACAAGAAAACCTTTTTATCTGGATGAAACCCTCCACAGATAGAGAGCCATTGCTTTCTGCTGGTGGCCACCAAGTCTGATCTGATCTGCTTTCTGTCTGCTGGTGGACTCTGAGGAAGGTCTACCTCTGCCCCACAGTCTAAGACAAGCATGTTCTTCCAAAACTACTAAAATTATCCAGAGAAAAAAAACAGGATATAATCAAATATGGTCATGAAAAGCCAAGTTGACGGATGTAGAAAACTATGCTTTAAAGAGGGCAACAACCAAGTGGGAACCAAATTTTAAAAAATAACTTAATCTGAGGTTTAGTGACCTTCGTGAGGATTTGGAAGAAGATTTCATACTTACAGTTGCTAGTATGTTATTAATTTGGTTTGCACACATGTGAAAGTGTTTTGCTAGTGTAAAAATGGCTATGTTTGTAAAAGCATGGAGGTAGTAATCAAGGTAGATTGGAGAAGAACAACAAATATATATATGTGTATGTGTGTGTGTGTATTGTTTCCCTTTTTTTATAACAGTTGTTTGTTTCCATCAATAAATGATAGTTGTATTTTTGTGCCGAAACTTGTTCAATTGTATTTTATCCAATAACTTTATGAGTGGATGATAGGAAACTTATTTAAATACATTTTTGTTTATTATACCTAATGTGAGCAAAATGAAAAAGTGTGTTTTGTACTAATAAAAATTAAATCTTATAAAATATAGGAAACAATGTTTTAAATGTGTGTTAGTTCAGGAGACCCAAAAAGTATTACTGCAGACTATATAAAAAAGAAAAGAAAAAAAAAAAGTAATGCTGCTAGGGAATGGAACCAGCAGAATTTGTTTTTTCTTCAATGGAAAGAGCGACACCTGGTGTTCAAAAGACTTCATGAGTAGGTAGTTGTTAGATAGAATATTAAAATGCAAATAAGATAAAAGTCAATAAATAAATGAATAAAATAGATTATCGCCTTAAGAAGTCTTGTGCTCATTGCAAATAGCCCATAATGTGCATATTCTTTAGTAGAAAGTGATGAAACCACCCGTCAGACGTATTGTGAAGTTATATATAATTTGCGTTTTCTATACATGTATTTGTATGGGCAGGTGAAATACTTGAGCAAGGGGAGAACTAACCGCTGCAGGGATTTTTTGAGAATCACTATAGGTATATGCAGCAATATAGCTCATTACACCGTAATCTATGCAATGGACTTGCTATTATTGTTATGGTGCTTGGAGTGACCCTTTAAAACGAATATCTATTTTTATTTACTTCTATATCATCATTATGAATTGGGACAATATGCGTTATTGTAGAACATTCCCAAAGTAACAACATCTTATTGAAGTTGTTATAGTCCCTGTAGTCCTGTACTCCCATCGTACCCCCAAAATTCATTATTAAACTAATTAGAAGGCTTGAAAGCACTGATATGAAGCTGTAAATTTTTCTTACCGACTTTCATTCCGTAACATACCATGATGTCACACGCGCATGCGCAGTGTAGTTGCGGTCGGAGAAGCGTTGTGTACAACAATTTTCTAAGGTGGAATTTTAGGTGCATTCCATGTTCTCCAATGCTCCTTTATGAGGAGCATTGGATTGGCCCATCATGACGCAACTCGAGGATGAGGTCACCGCTCTGCTAGAGTAATTTGTTTCTTTTTTTTTTTTTTTATCTTTTTTGCTTTCATTTTTGTGCAGATGGGGGGGAATAATAAGGGGCACCAGGATTGTATCGTTAGGAATATAGATATGCATTCCTAATGCTACAGTTTTCCTTTGCGCATATTTCAACTTTAATGGCAGTTGTTCAGGAAATGTTACTCTTACTGTAATGGTAACTAGGTTCTTGACCATGTTGGAATGTAGTACCGGTAAAATGCATACATTTGCTTCTTTTAACTTATGATACATTCATGCATGACATTTCCTATGTCTTGACTCATATAGTAATACATTTGTTTGGGTTATAGTTTACAGCATGGCAATTTATACCATTACTGAAATTATCTGGGTTTTCTCACTAAACTCAGGATGGTGGAGAATTAACAGGCAAATTACTTATTATTGGGTAAAATATCTTAGCTTAAAGATTAGCAGAACTGGATGAGATTTACAAACTGGTTATTTTGTCCTAGCAGTTACAATTCCATCATCATTTCTCCAAACTTCCTGTATGAATGTATAATCACATAGTGAGTGAATGCTAGCTTCAACCTTGTTCCCAAAATCTATAAAACAAATTATTTAGTCTGTTAGACGTGAAGACACTTCTCGATCCTCAGGATTCATGGCCCTTTTCACTAAACTGTACCTTTAGCAGTTCAGATACAGCTTGAGAAAGTATTGTATTCATTAGTCATGTAGATATGTATTTACTTTTATTTCCCTTAAAATCTGCATGGAGGGGGCGGAGCTAACGGCCGAACTGACAAGACGCATGGCACTCGAGCTTCGACATTGCTATTCTACTAAACCCACAAAACTCACCCAAAAAGCCTCCACAGACTGGGGAAATACCTACGGTGGACACAGTAAGCAATGGGGAAACACTCCTGAAAACCCAGAGGGACAGCCACGGGACATACCCAATATATCGGGCAACTCCTGTCCCAGGCATGCAGGCCCAAAATGGCGGATGCCTACCAAGACATGGGGATGGAGTCACTCTCAGCCTCAGAAGACGAATACCTAGGCGACATGCCGACCCAGATATCCCAACGGAGGCAACAGACTGTACCCCCGAGGCAACCAGAACAACAACTAGCCACTAAGGTCGACCTGTCAGGAATGGTGACAGACCTCAAGGCCTTTTTCACGGCGGAACTAGCAGGCCTCAAATCAGAGTTGAATGCACTTACAGGCCGCATACAAGCCACAGAAGACGGGGTCCAAGATCTGAAGAACCAGCAAGATGCTACGGCCGCCCAAACGCTGGAACTAGCAGCCACGTGCACACAGCTAAATGCTCGAATGGGGCAGCTGGAAGACGCAGCAAGGCAGAGAAACCTCAAGGTGAGGGGGATCCCAGACACCATAACGGCAGAGGAACTGCCTTACCTTATTAAGAGACTGCTCCAAGCCACCTTTCCGCCCAAACAGGCCAGAAGCATGACCCTAGATGGCCTACTTTGCATACCGGGACGCCCAGGCAATGCACCTGAATCCGCAAGAGATGTCATACTAAATTTTAAATCCCGCTTGGATAAGGATGGCTTTCTTAGAGCCGTCAGGGACCAGACCCCATTTGCATTTGAGGACCTTTCCTTGAACTTTTATCAAGATCTCAGTCGCCAGACGCTACAATGGCGTGCATCCCTGAAAGAAACCACGGCACAACTAAGAACAGCGGACATACCATACAAGTGGGGCTACCCACGACTACTCATAGCCACACAAGATGGGCACAACCACCGACTGACATCGCCGGAGGAAGCTCCACAGTTTTGCGCCCCACCCTCCCCAGACTCCGGGGTCAAGCAGTCATAAGGCCATGTCACATACCACTATTACCTTTAACCGCTATAGCACACAAATGTTCCTAGAACATACTACCAACCCTAACCCTATGCCAAGGAGGACAGGAACGATTGTTAACACAACTGTGTAGACTCACCAGCCAGCACTAGGAGGCATAGGCACAGTTTCACTACCTAATATATTTTAACCTGATATATATTCGTATCTAGTTCTTGTCTTAATTAACAAAAGGTGCAAGCTAAAGCTGTCATAACTTCTGTTTAATACTGCTGATTGAGCCTGTAATTGCTGTTGTGGCAAGGCAGGCACTGACTGTTGTACTCACCTGCATTATAAAAATATTAAATAAATAAATTTAAAAAAAATTCTGCATGGAGTAATTTTGTTTCCAATGGCCCTTTTGGCAAGTGGTTCTTAAAATGTTTGTAAGCACCCATCAATGTTCACACTTAATTTGTGACTGTATTCCAGAATTCCACAAAATTAAAAGGTTTAAAGAGCTTGCTATACATAATACATAATCTTACATCAAGTAGTCACTTTGAACCAAGCTCTCTATTTAGCCCTCATTAAGCTTCCTTTTTTATTCTAATTTTATAGGTTATACTCTCCTTTAATTAAAGAGGGGGAATTCAGTGCTTGTAGTTTACTGGTACAGTTCAAAAGGTGTCTCAAACACCAAATCCAGGGCCTCTTTTTTTTATTTTTTATTTTTTTTTTTGGTCCGGAAGAGGAAAATTAAGAAACAAAAGGGTGGTGTAGTTCCAAATATGTTCTTAATAATATGTGGGATGATAAAGGAAGAGAACCAATAGTATAGTTTGTAAAATACAATTGGGGGGAAAAAGATGATAAAAATAATTCACTCACACTTTATGGGAGCTTAGGTGCAGCTCCAACTTTTGCGCCTCGGTGGAATTATCCCCAACTAGGGATATAATGTGGTCACAGGTCTGCAGGTAGTTCTTCACCTTTATTTTGTTTCTTGTTTTGTTTCTTCACCTTTATTTACGCCAGCATGTCCTACTCACAGAAGAAATCACAGAATCTATTTTATTACCTTGCGCAGCCTTCTCTTTATGCAAGATGTTGTCCTCATTAAAAGCCTCGAACCAGGTCTGCCTGAGCTCGAAAATAGACAGTGAGTTAAGGCTACAATGCAAGAAATGACTTCTGACTTCCAGCATAACAAAGAAAGATGCCTTCAAGAGTTGTGTCCTGACCACAAGCTATAGGCCATCACACACAGACTATCTAGAAATGCACTAGAATGATTTAAGCCTTACCTTTAAGGACATTTTCACATTTTTCTAATGCCCTGGTTGTTCTTTCTCCATTAGTGAGTCAGGTTGCTACCTCACACCCTAAAGTCTTTACTCATCCTGGTGTCCAAGTCTCTTAAAAGCTGTCATAGTTGCCCACCAACTTATCTAGCATGGTTTGCAAGATGCCCCTTTTTTATGTTTTGTGGTCCAACAGGCAATTTACTTTCTTGCCTTCCTCTATTGTTCTTTCCTACACCCCTCCTTTCCTATTAATCCATTGGCAGAATTTTCCTAGTCCGATTTAATATTTTGCGTCCTCTAAATAGTTGTTTGGCAGTTGGTTCCCTTTTCAGAATTGCTGTGCAGCAAGCCATCCACCCTCACACTCACCTCTTTTTTTTTTCAATAGAGCTGCTCTGGCAGACCTGGATACTTCCTGTGTTTTGAAAACATCCCTGGCACAAGTATGAACCTGCTATTAATCATCTGATATCAATCAGGTCTCTTAATAAGGCCAATAAGAGATGTACTGCCTTCTACAATTACTTTCAGATTCCAAAATATGTTATTGGCGTTGGCAATTGGATGCCCTCCCTCTGTTTTGGCTGTCTCTACTCCTGTGAGTGAGCTTAAACTGAGTTTTTCTGCAGACCGTGTCTTACTGACACGGTTGTCTCCATGTACATAATTTCCCAGTTTATGCAATTTTTTTAGATGACCCAAGTCTTATGTGAGAGGCAATGAATGTGGCAGTCTCATCATTTTGAATTGTCTTCTCTGCAAAAAGACTATTTCTTCATAATTGTGTGCTTCTCATGTTAAATATTTCGGCATTAAGGTCATGTCACATTACAAGACCTTTATTGAACCAAAAACTTCTTGAAACATTTTACTCTGCTCTCAAAAGATGGGATACATATCTTGGGTAGGCTGTATCTGTGTAGTCAAAATGAACCCCATTTACAAATTGCTATGCTTATTTAGGATTATCATCTTTGCTAAAATTCAGATATCTGGATATTACAAAATGAGACTGAAACAAACTATTTCTTACAAAACTAAGTTGGGGCTTGGCACTGCTCCACTTTAATCCTTTTTTGGCAGCACGGTTTTCACAGCATTTGTCTTAGTTTATACCCCTCCATTGCAAACTGAATTGGTCCATCCGAATTAGGTTTTACATCCTCTATTTCCATGCAGTGTTAGGGTCTACATTCATTTTGCCCTCAGCTGTTTTGCTTCCCAGCTCGATGAGGCATTTATTGTCTTTGTGGAAGTGGCATAGATCTACTAAAGAACTATTAAGTATTAGGGTTATTAACTAAAGTGAGAATTACAGGAAATGCAAAGTGAATTTCAAATTTAAGGTCAATATAGCTGAACCAGATCCCCTTTTTTTTTTTCTTTCAGTCAGCTGTGTATTCAATGTGGCAACTTTGGCCTTCACATTAAAATAAATTTTTAATTCATATTGGATTCCCTCAAATTCTCACTGTAGTCCTGGATATGTGAAAGGTGGATTTTAGGGGCTTCACGTCAGGTTATTCACTTTTAGAAGACTCCTCAGTTGTCACATTTACAAAACTACTGATAGTCTTTGGCATCTACTCCAAAGAGCTGAAGCACTGCAAAAAAGACCTATCACAATATGATGTTAAACTTCATACCTCTTATGTTTCAATTAGAGATATCGCGAACTGTCCGCCGAACTGTTCGCGAACTGTCCGCTGGCGAACAATAGCGTGTTCGCATTGGGCGAACATATCCGATTTCCGGTCCGCCCCCTATACGTCATCATTGAGTAAACTTTGACCCGGAACCTCACAGCCAGCAGACACATTCCACCCAATCAGCAGCAGACCCTCCCTCCCAGGAAGTGTCTGCTGACTGTGAGGTTCCGGGTCAAAGTTTACTCAATGATGACGTATAGGGGGCGGACCGGGAATCGGATATGTTCGCCCAACGCGAGCACGCTATTGTTCGCCAGCGGACAGTTCGCGAACAGTTCGGCGGACAGTTCGCGACATCTCTAGTTTCAATCTGTTTGCGAATCTCATTTGAAACAGGAGGATCTGATGTCCACTCTTTATGTCTATCTAATGAACTGAAAATTAGATATTCATCTTTGTATCCAAGTAGAATGTATGCCTTGATACAAATGCATACAAACTGCCATCCATTGGTAAACTCTCACAAGCATCAACGTATTTACACATCAACAGGGTTGTAGAGTCTGCTGTACCGGTGTCCCATTGGTTGCTCAGTCCCAACGGACAAGTACCCTAACGGGAAATTAACCCGTGGGGTGCCTTGTCCCAATGGGGCTAAAAGGCATCAGACTCATGCAGTAACAGGATCTTAAAGGAATAGAGCAATCACTAGCAATCTATTCCAAAGACAATCTATTCCAATCTATTCCAAAAGACAAATATATCCCTTAAGGTATGAACCGAGAGGAGAGAGTGTTTCATAAGAAGGCAAGTAGGGTAACACCTTAGTAGTTGCAAAGAATACCAGTCCAAATTATAGGTGCAAATACAAAGGGTGTCACCAGTGGTTCCATGACCACTGCTAAGGGGGCAACCCCTAGACGCATAAGTGTGGGCAACCCTCAAAAAAAGAGAGAAATTGGGGTTTAAGAAATGAATAACACCCCACATCTTATGTGCATATAGAGGATGTCCTGTGTGGACCCTAGGACCATAACAGAGGGACCAACCTCATATAATTTTTAAAAAGGGGTGCCTTAGAAACAAAACTCTACCCCTTAGGGAACAAAATCCCTGGGGATAAATAATAGGTAAAGCAATGCTCACATAGGAGCTAATAAAGATGGTAAATATAAAGAGTACCATCTATTGAATTACCAGTCAATCGCCTAAACAGATCCTGCTGCAGTCAATGATGCACTGACGACAGAATATGAAGAGGGCACTAAACATTGGATATGAAACCTAAATCTACATAAATAAAATAAGAAATACAGAAAAAATAATAAATAACAAACTATACAATCAGACACATCTCTCCGAGTGAAAAGCAAGATACACAGACACAATTCAAGTCTCAATGAAGGAGTGCTCTCTGATAGGCATGTTTCAAACAGCGAATGGGGTAACCCCTTTCCTTGAATCTAGTTCTAAGCACTTTGGCCTGAACTATGAACTCATCTAGGGTTGAGCAGTTCCTCCTCAATCTGAGGTACTGCCCAACAGGAATTCCCCTTTTGAGAGAGATGGGATGGTGGCTTTCCCACCTCCGCATAGTGTTAGTTGAGGTGGCTTTCCTATACAGGGTAGTCTATACACAAGATTCAGGTGACACTGTAAAAGTGCAGTCTAAAAAGTTGAGTGATGATCCACCAATCTCAACCATGAACCTCAGATTAAGGTCATTCATATTCAATTCCAAACAACAATTCATATTCAATTCAAGTCCCTAGTGCCAGTCCAGACAATGAGGATATCATCAATATATCTCCTCCAAAGGAATATATTATGCGTATATTCCCTAAAATGATCAGAAAAGACAACAAACTGCTCCCACCAACCAAGGTGCAGGTTAGCATAAGATGGGGCACAAGGAGTCCCCATAGCTGTACCCTGCACCTGGTGATTAGACCTTCCCATTAAAAAGAAAAAAGTTGTTGGTTAAAATAAAGAGCAAGAGAGCGAGCCCAAATGTTGTGTGTTACTGATGTTCCTGTCCCCTAGTGCTCAAAAAAATACTTCACATGATTAAGTCCACTTTGATAAGGGAAGGAGGAATAAAGGGCCCCCACATCAATGCATGTTTTCATTGGGGTTTATCTAATAAATAGTCAAAACAAAATTATAATTTTTTTTTTATAATTTTTTTTTTTTCATTTTTTTTTTCATTTTTATTTGGGTAGTGGAGTGTCCCTTTAACTCCAACCATTGAATTATCCATTTTTTATTTTTTTCTTGGATAGTTCACCGATAGAGATCTATATTTCTACATAATGGCATTACCACATGTGCATGCAC